CCAGTGGTAATTAAACAAAAGAGTGACTTTCAATAAGTATTGTGTATAATCTATATTGAATAAAAAGTTTCTGTTTCTGTTTCTGTGGAATTTCCGAAAACTGTTTCAGAGCTAAGATGTTTTCGCGGCATGGTCAGTTTTTATCGAGCTCATCTTCCTACTGTTGCTACTTTATATCTAACAGAATTTGATAAATATCTTAAAAGCTCAAAGAAAAATTATAAAACACCCATCGCCTGGACTAATAGTGCGAACTGAATAAAGCAAATCAAATGCGTTGCCAAAACCATAAACAAAATTTTAATAAAGAGGATTTCTCCGCTTATAGTCTATCGGTAAAAAAAAAATCAAGTCTATCATCCTAAAGGAGGAGCCGGGAGATCCATAGTACAGGGTATCCTAGTTTGGACTCCCATCTCCCACAAATTTATGTACTCTTTGTTTAATTTATAAGAAAAAAATATGTTTTTAAAGGATAAATTGCAATGTACTATTTGTGGGAGAAAATAATAAAGGTTATTAGTATTATTATTATCGGTAATGTAGACTAACAGTGCTGCCATGACATAAAAGTATAAATGAGTTAGATATTTTTTTTATAGGTGAGGTGGCAAACGAGCATGCGGCTCACCTGATGGTAAGTGACTACCGCCACCCATGAACAACTGCAATACCAGGGGAACCAGGGGAATTGTGTGCTAAATACACCAAAAAAGCGCTAGATTAAGCGCTAGGTGCTAAAATTTTGAAATGCGCGCTAAACACACCAAAAAAGCGCTAGATTAAGCGCTAGGTGCTAAAATTTTGAAACACGCGCTAAACACTCCAAAAAAGCGCTAGATCAAATGCCAAAAGCGCTAAAATGGCAGCACTGGATTCCGCACTTGCTATAATGACTGACGCATATAATACATGCGTGGGAGCGGTCTTGCAACAAAAAGAAGGGATAGCTGGAAACCATTGGGTTATTTCACAAAAAAAAAATTGACCACCACCTAACAGCGATATAGAACCTACGATTGCGATTGCTCGTTATATACTTAGCTATAAGACATTTTCGGAAATTATTTGAAAGCCAAGAAATAACCGTGTATACGGACCATAAACCTTTAACTTTTGCATTTCAAAAGGTGGGACGCGAGGAAAGCGAAGCGCCTCGGAGAACGAGACATTTAGCTTTCATAAGCGAGTTCACTACAAATATAAAACATATAACCGGTAAGAATAACATTGTAGCCGACACCTTATCACGCCTCGAAGCCGTGATTATTGCCAACTGCGTTGAATGACACTGCAAACGAAGCGATAGTTATATTACGAATGTTATGTTATGGTTTAAATACCGATAATATTCTGTTGAAAGAACTGGTTATACCTATGTTAGACTAGCATATATTTTGCGAAATGCCTACTGATTATAGCTCGTCCATACCTACCGGAAAGGTTTCCACGCCATAGTTTTTGATAGTATGCATAATTTGAGCCATTCTGGATATCGGTCTACACGAAAGATGTTAGCTAAAAAGTATTTTTGGCCGAGTATGAATCGTGATGTTTCTTTATGGGCAAAAACGTGCATACAATGTCAACGTACCTACTAAAGTTAACAGACATACGGTATGAAATTTTGAAAAAAATTCCGGAAGTAGATCGTTTTGAGCATGTGTACATCGATATCGTTGGCCCTCTTGAGATTTCACCAGATGGTTATAGATACTTACGATAATTGATAGGAGGACAAGATGGGCCGAAGATTTTCCGTTACGCGACATTACGGCAGAAACTGTTGCCAAACATTTATATGAGCATTGGATTTGTCGTTACGGTTGCCCGATGAAGTTAACTAGCGACCAAGGTCGCCAGTTTGAAAGTAGCCTTTTTAACCAGCTGTTAAAAGTATTGGGGATTAATAGAATTCTAACTACTCCTTATCACCCGCAAAGCAATAGCGTCGTCGAACGTTGACATCGTTCTTTAATGACAGCACTTTCAGCTCGCCTATCACATGGGTCTTGGGTGGAAGAACTACTATAGGTGGTATTATGTCCCTACATATGAAATTAGCGTTTTGTCGTACTGACCATTTTGATCTGAAATATCTCCTCTTTGGTTAAGAATTCAAAATTCAATTTTATAAATTCATTTAACTGGTACATTTGAGTTTTAAAAACACTCATTCATTTGCTTTTTCCTCATTATTTTTTCTTTGGCGTCGCTTATTACCGCACAATGGAAAACATGAAATATCGATATATTTACGAGTACGAGTTCTACCGTGGCACCAGTGCTGCAGAAACAGCTCGAAGGATTAATGATGTGTACGGCGCTGGTGTCGCAAAAGAAAGCACGATATGTTTTTGGTTTCAACGTTTTCGTTCTGGAAATTTCGACCTTCAGAACCAAGCCCGGGGACGGCCGGAAACCAAAGTAGAAATGAAGAATTAAAGGCTATTGTGCAAGCGGATCCATCACAAAGCACTTCAGAGATAGATGCAGGCTTCGGGGTAAATGGTAAAACTGTATTAATCCACTTGAAGCAAATCGGGAAAGTAAAAAAACTTGAACGATGGGTACCTCATGAATTGAGTGAATCGAACTTGCAAGCACGCGTCGACTGCTGTGTTACTTTGCTCAACCGACACAATAATGAAGCGATTTTAAATCGAATCATTACTTGTGATGAAAAGTGGATACAGTACGATCATCGGAAGCACTCGTCGCAATGGCTGAACCCTGGAGACCCAGCCAAATCCTGTCCTAAACGAAAATTGACGCAGAAAAAGTTACTTGTGAGTGTTTGGTGGACTAGCGCCGGTGTCGTTCACTAAAGCTTTCTAAAATCTGGCCAAACGATTACGGCAGATATCTATTGTCAGCAACTGCAAACAATGAAGGAAGAACTAGCTGCTAAACAACCGAGATTGGTCAATCGCTCTAGGCCAATGCCGCTTCACGACAACGCAAGACCACACACTGCACAACAAAGAACCACTAAGTTAGATGAGCTACAATTGGAATATCTGCGACATCCACCGTACTCCCCGGACCTTGCTCCAACAAATTACCATTTTTTCCGGAATTTGGACAACTTCTTACAGGGAAAAAAATTCAACTCCGATGCGGCAGTCCAAACAGCCTTCAAAGAGTTTATTGATTCTCGACCCCATGGTTTTTTTTAGTAAAGGGATCAATAAACTACCTGTGAGATGGCAAAAGTGCATAGGTAACAACGGTGCATACTTTGATTAATTAAATATATTTTACAAAAAATAAAATTGACTTTATATTCCTCACGTACAAAACGCCAATTTCATATGTAAAGACCTAATATTACTGGGGCTTCGCGCGGCCAGCCACAGCGACTCATGGGTTAGCGCCGCCGAGTTAACTTTCTGACGAAACTTACGTCTACCGGGAGACATTTATGACAGCTCTTCAAACAAGCACAACGTCAACGACAATTGTTTAGAAGATAAGACTAGAGATTAGCGTAGTCATAAGCCTACATCTGACGATTTACGTAACTGTCAAAGATTTTTTATGCACAAGGACTTACGTAACTGTGAATATGTCTCTGTTCGGGAAGATTCAATACGTAAACATTTGAAACCACCCTACGACGGTCCATATCGCGTGATAAAAAGGGCTTCAAAAGTTTACTAAATTCAATGACCCGATAGGCAAATAAATACATGTTTCTATTGACATTGACATTGACAGATTAAAGCCCGCATACGTACCTCGAGCACGGTGGGCGCGTCCTCCTCGGCCAGCAGCAGCAGCGCAGGAGCGCAGTCGGGGCGCGCGGCTAGTGCAGTACGTACCTCGAGCACGGTGGGCGCGTCCTCCTCGGCCAGCAGCAGCAGCGCAGGAGCGCAGTCGGGGCGCGCGGCTAGTGCAGTACGTACCTCGAGCACGGTGGGCGCGTCCTCCTCGGCCAGCAGCAGCAGCGCAGGAGCGCAGTCGGGGCGCGCGGCTAGTGCAGTACGTACCTCGAGCACGGTGGGCGCGTCCTCCTCGGCCAGCAGCAGCAGCGCAGGAGCGCAGTCGGGGCGCGCGGCTAGTGCAGTACGTACCTCGAGCACGGTGGGCGCGTCCTCCTCGGCCAGCAGCAGCAGCGCAGGAGCGCAGTCGGGGCGCGCGGCTAGTGCAGTACGTACCTCGAGCACGGTGGGCGCGTCCTCCTCGGCCAGCAGCAGCAGCGCAGGAGCGCAGTCGGGGCGCGCGGCTAGTGCAGTACGTACCTCGAGCACGGTGGGCGCGTCCTCCTCGGCCAGCAGCAGCAGCGCAGGAGCGCAGTCGGGGCGCGCGGCTAGTGCAGTACGTACCTCGAGCACGGTGGGCGCGTCCTCCTCGGCCAGCAGCAGCAGCGCAGGAGCGCAGTCGGGGCGCGCGGCTAGTGCAGTACGTACCTCGAGCACGGTGGGCGCGTCCTCCTCGGCCAGCAGCAGCAGCGCAGGAGCGCAGTCGGGGCGCGCGGCTAGTGCAGTACGTACCTCGAGCACGGTGGGCGCGTCCTCCTCGGCCAGCAGCAGCAGCGCAGGAGCGCAGTCGGGGCGCGCGGCTAGTGCAGTACGTACCTCGAGCACGGTGGGCGCGTCCTCCTCGGCCAGCAGCAGCAGCGCAGGAGCGCAGTCGGGGCGCGCGGCTAGTGCAGTACGTACCTCGAGCACGGTGGGCGCGTCCTCCTCGGCCAGCAGCAGCAGCGCAGGAGCGCAGTCGGGGCGCGCGGCTAGTGCAGTACGTACCTCGAGCACGGTGGGCGCGTCCTCCTCGGCCAGCAGCAGCAGCGCAGGAGCGCAGTCGGGGCGCGCGGCTAGTGCAGTACGTACCTCGAGCACGGTGGGCGCGTCCTCCTCGGCCAGCAGCAGCAGCGCAGGAGCGCAGTCGGGGCGCGCGGCTAGTGCAGTACGTACCTCGAGCACGGTGGGCGCGTCCTCCTCGGCCAGCAGCAGCAGCGCAGGAGCGCAGTCGGGGCGCGCGGCTAGTGCAGTACGTACCTCGAGCACGGTGGGCGCGTCCTCCTCGGCCAGCAGCAGCAGCGCAGGAGCGCAGTCGGGGCGCGCGGCTAGTGCGGCGCGCGCGGCGGCCAGGCGGGCGCCGGGCTCGCGCTCGCGCCACGCGCGCGCCATGCACGCCTCCGCCTCGTCGCCCTCGCCCTCGCCCTCCCCTTCGCCCACACCTGCGCCAAACGCGACACACACTCACGACCGGATCCTTCACAAACTAGTGAAGCTCACTCTATTTAACCGCATCATTCCTATTCCGCAAATAACTGAATATACAGAGAAAACTATAGTAATCACTTCTGAATACCCCGCTGTAAACCTAAAAAGCGACATGATAGTGCCCTTAGAAGACCGAGATGTATCATCATACTTAAATCTTCAAGAAAACAAAATGTTATTTGCTATTAATCAACCTATTTACAACATCACGGTAGCCGATACATTATGTGAAGCGCAAATATTAAACAATGGCGACTTATCAACATGCCACACGAGAGTATTGGATTGCAACGACAGGTGGGTGCGATTACACAATCGTGGCGCGTGGCTGTTCTCCTGTTGCGAAGACTGCACGATGCATTTTCTGCCCAGCTGGAGTGACGTCACAGCACTTACACGGCACGGGGATTATGTCACTCTTGGGTGTATGCTCAAGGGAGAAAGCTTCATCATTCATGCTCGCAACGACTATCACAGCGAGTTGAAACTAACAGGCAGTGAAGAAAGAATGTACATGCGCGAATCAAACCTGAACCACATACTGACAGACTTCAATCTTGAGTTGTGAGTTGTGACCCTCTACATTTAATTGATGTGTAGGATGTCGATGTAGGTTGTATCTACGTTACGGGATGTGGTAATTAAAACTGTGTCCGATTCCGTAGTGTTTATTGCTCTAACAATACTTATGAATAAAATGTAATATATATAAATACTTATGAATGTAATTGCACTGAAAGTGTCGCGCACGCAGGCACAATATCAGCATATTTCCTAGACTATAGAAATACCATGTACTTGATCATACACAAACACTTAGAAAATTTTCGATATTATTTGTGAAATTGACTGCTTATTACTGAGTGAGCATTTCGTTTAGTTTTAATTGCAATTTTGTTTACAAATACTTAAAATGGCCGCTTTAATTAAGAGTCAGACAAGTTCAAAAGGAGGCGAAAATAAGTACTGTGGACGAGTTACCTACTCTTAACCAAATGGGTGAATTCTTATAATCTAAATTTTGATCACTTGAGTTTCTCTAGACGGTTTTTGATGAAAATTTTGGGAAATTGAAAATCATTTTTTTGATACAAAAATCCTCACCAAAGAAGAACAACTCTATGAGGATTTCTATGACAACCAGACAAGATGCATCCGGTCGGTATATTGTTCGCTTGCCGTTTCGTGAGGACGATCCAAAGTGTAAGTATGGCAATTCAAGAGAAATTGCCATAGAGATTTCAACTTCTAGAAAAGCGCTTGAAGAAAGATGCCGAACTCAAGAACAAGTACTCAGAGGTAATTCATGAATACTTGGACCTGGGTCATATGATGCGTATGTCGGACGATGACAAAAGGAAGCACATCTCTGTGTATCTTCCACATCATGCTATTATACGTGAAGACAAAAGCACAACTAAGGACAGAGTTGTGTTTGACGCTTCATGCAAGGGTAACAACAGCATTTACCTCTACGCCACTTTGATGATTGGTCCTAAGCTTCAACAAGATTTGCGACACATTATACTGAAGTGACGTATGCACCCTATATGCATGAACGCGGATATAGTCAAGATGTATCGCCAGATAATAGTCGCAGAAGAAGATGTAGACTTTCAGAGGCTTATGTGGAGAGACAGCCCGGAATCGAAATGGAAGAATATCGATTGGAAAGAGTTACCTTCGGCAACGCATCGGCGCCATACCTGGCTGTGAAGACGTTGCAGCGACTTGCGATCGGTGAAGGCAGTGCATATCCTCTTGTGGCTAAGCTTAAAAAGGATTATTATATAGATGATCTCTTGACAGGATGTCAAACTGTTGAAGAAAGAAAGCAAATCTACAAGGAAATTAAGGAACTATTAAGCAAAGATACCCACCTTTGCTTAATAGTTTAGCTACAGAAATGGATAACGAATATTACGGAATTAGCAGAAATAGTTATGGAAGAACATGGATATGAAGAAGGAAAGATTAACATAAAGATATATGAGATAGTAAAAGTGCTAGCGCATACCTTGGATAAAGAAACTGATTCGTTTCATTAATCGATGCAACTTACCATGCAAGAAAATCCCATCACAAAGAGCAAAAATCATTTCAGACATTTCACGTCTTTTCAACCCTTTAGGATGGGTGGCTCCTTGTGTCATTACAGCCAAGGTGATGATACAGAAGTTGTGGTTGGCTGGGATTGATTGGGATGAAGAGTTGCCAGATGATCTTGAAGAGTGGCTTACTTACTTATCGGTCAGAATTAGCTTACATCCGAAAGGTATGCATTTCTCGGTGGATCGAAACAAAAGTGGATGATGCTTGCACGGAATTACATACTATTATAGATGCGTCCAATGTTACATACGCTGCAGTGATTTACGAACGGACCATTGACACAGCTGGTAACATTCATGTATATCTAGTTGTTGCTAAAATCAAGGTAGCTCCAACTATGCAGGTGTCTATTCCTCGCCTCGAGCTAATGGGAGCCGTTTTATTGGCCAGGTTAGTTACTGACGTGACAAACATGCTGCATATTACTTGGGATAAAATACACGGTTGGACTGATTCCACTGTGGTGTTAGCATGGCTTAGTAGTCACCCTAGCCACTGGTCAACTTTTATTCGCAATTAAACTTCCAAAATTCTATCAAGGCTCGATAGCACCCAGTGGTCTCATGTATCATCGGGCGAAAATCCTGCAGACATGGCATCTGAAGAGAATGAGAGTGTACACCTCTAGAACTTATGCCGAATATCGAGAGATATCACTCCTGCTTTAGTAAGGCGTTCCCCAATTACACGATCAGGGCAAATAATTTTAACATCATATGTGTTGCAGCAGTGGAATATGTATTGTGAAGGGTTATTCAGCGGTATCCATTTATTTGTACAAGATGTCTTATAGACCCTGCATCTACTTGTTGTTTGATCCAATTGGCAAAAATTCTTGTCTTCTGAAAGATGGTAAATGGGCTGTCGGATAGGACACAAATAAACATCCTCCTCATGTAAACGTAAATATAAGTCCTTGTTTATTTTTAAATAAGTATCCTTTTGTAAACTAATAGCTGTGTATTCTGCAATTGGAAAAATGCTTATCTCTATATTATTCTCCACCTGGTGAGGAATTGTTATAATTTTGTATAATTTGTATTTGTCTCTATTCAGAAGGGGAAATATTACCTCGAATATAAGATATTTTAGCATCATTCTAGCTTTGACTTTAAGTAGTTTATAAATTTTATGAACTACTTGTTGTATATTTTCTATCGGTAATGTTATATCTTCTGTTAAATGACCAGAAATTATGTGGAGTTCTTCTCGAAGTTGTTTGGCTGTTAATAAATGCATGTTAAATTGACCATGGTATATGTCTGTTATAGTTTCAAGAAGATTCTCCTGAGTGATTTTTATATTTTGAAGCATATTGCTGGCTATTAAAGAAGATATAGTAAAATCTTGCGCCATTGACATGTTTTTTATTTCCTTTTGCATGTTGTTGGTCTGTTTTTCCAAGTTTATCAAATGTCTGTTGATAATTTTATGTTGTTTGGCTACTAAATCTTCGGTACGTTTTAATAAATTATATTCAGACTCCAATACAGACGCTTGGTTCTTCCATAAATTCAATAAATGGTTTTGGTTTTGTCTAACAAGTTCAATATCCTTACTTTACTGTTCCGCGAAACGTTCGTCCAATACGCCGAACAAACTATTTGCCAAGTAGCCTATTCCATTCACAAGTCCCCGTCGCTGTCTGGAGCGTCCGACGAAATGCTGATTCAATAGCAGCTCATTGTAATATTGCAGTTCCGTAGTTGTAACAATATCATATGGCATAAGTGATCTGCGTTTATGTTCATACATCTTTCTTTTAAATGTTTTAAAAATATTTCAAATGCTTCAATTCCTTCCCAATAAGGATCTAAGTTGTAATACACAATAAGTGTCCATTTATCCTGGATTATCTGCATTTTACCTATCGGATCGAAGTAAATAGACTGGTTATTGTTAAACGTTGTAATATTGTATGAGCTTGTACTAAATGCAGGTGTAATTAAGCATATAAAGAAAATTAAACTCATAACAATAGAGCTGAATTTGGAGCGGGTGCCTTGTAGCTTGTTTTCTTGTTTATGGGTTATTTTCTGTATAAAGTCGCTCGACCTATCTTTCTGTTTATTTTGTTGTGATGATAGTTCAATGGGTAGTAATGACAGTTTACTGACCGGCCTTTTAAGATTACCGTTTTTTGTTTTTAATGTTACAACTCTTACATGTCCATCGTTACCTGGGTGAAGTTCTACTACTCGCCCCATCGCCCATTTTCCGGGTGGTAAGTCGTCGTCTTGAATGATGACCATATCACCGATTTTCATGTTTGGTCGCGGTCTTAGCCACTTACTCCTACTAGATAATTGAGTAAGGTATTCCGCTTTCCGCCTTTTCCATACACCTTGAAATATTTGTTTTGTTAGCTGTCATCTTATCCTGGCATCTTCGGGCGTTTCTATTATGGTGGAGCCTACATTTGTTGTTGAAAAATGTGCAGGTGTCAAGAACTCCAAATCTTCCACGTTTTCAATTAGCGGACACAAAGGTCTTGAGTTTAAGCACGCTTCTATCTGACTCAATACTGTCGAGTTTTCTTCGTATGTTAGCTTTTGATCACCAACCACACGCTTTAGATGCTGTTTTAAACTGCGCACTGCTCTTTCCCATAAACCTCCAGCGCTTCCTCCAACCCTAAGTATCCTATCCAAAAATGCTGAGGTGCTCAAATCCAATACTAATTCCAAGTGTATGGCTTTGGTAACCATACACACAAAAACTGCTATATATCCTTTGGTAGTTTTTATTCCTCGTCCTTTATTTCAACGAAACCAGTATAATCAATGCCTGTGTGTTGAAAAGGTGGTGCTGGATTAACCCTTGACTCTGGTAAATCAGCCAT